AATACAAGAAGAATGTCAGAAAAAAAATGTTACTTTTTTTTATCTATGAAAAGGCATTTGACTGTGTAGATCATACAAACTTATGGCTCACGTTGAAAAGAATGGGAACCCCAGAACATGAATTGTTCTCATACGACATTTATACCTATACCAGTAAGCTGCTGTCCAAACAGAGCAAGAGAACACTGCATGCTAATAATTATGAAAGGTGTGTGTCTGGGTTGTGTACTTTATATTGGACAAATCTTTCAAGGAGCTGGACTCGTTAAAGAAGAAAATGGCATCAGCATCAGAGGAAGAATGATCAATAACCTGTGTTATGCAAATGACCCAAACATGCTTGCTGAAAGCAAGAACTTAAAGTTCTTGCTGCAGAAGATTTAAAATGACAGCCTTCAAGATGGATTGTAGCACAACATCAAAAAGAAAAATCTTCACTACTGGACTGATAAGCAACATCGTAATAGGTGGAGAACAGATTGAAATCATTAGCTATTTCATCTTGGATCCACAATCAAAACCCTCAGGATGGCAAATCTGGAGATGTATTACAGTGGACAAGTCTACAGTCAGGGATCTTTCTAAATTACTGAGAAGCAATGATGCCAGTTTGACGACAAAGGTTTCCCTGATTCAGCCCATGGTTTTTTCACTCACTTGCTATCCATCTGAGTGCTGCACAGTGCATAAGGATATTAGAAGAAGAATTAATGCCTTTGAGTTATGGAGTTATATAAGAACATTGAATATTTCACGGATTGCCAAGAGCATGAACAGATATGTCATGGGAAAAGTGCAGTCATAGTGCTCTTTAGAGGCAAGGATTATGAAACTTCATCTCATATATTTTGAGTATGTTGCTAGGAAAGGCTATTCCTTGAAAAGGAAATCATGCTTAGAAGGGTGGAAGGTTAATGAAAGAAAGGAAGAAAGGAAGAACCTCAGGGAGATAGATTGACAGAGTGACTTTAGCAATGGCCTCAAGTGTGTCAGAGATAAGGATGGCACAGGATAGGGCAAGATTCAGATCTATTGTTCCTATATTTGCTGTGAGTCATTATCAACTTGAGGACACTAACAACAACAATACAACAATAACAACTTATATATATATACTTGTTTATTTCATATTATAAAAGTCCATACAGTAACTTTGTACAGTATAACAATTGCTATATTGTTTGTCAAGTTTTTGTTATTACTTACTTTTGCTACAACATAATATCCTCAAGGTTCATTCTTGTTCCACGATGTTTTAAGGATTCACCTTTATCTGTTACTGAGTAATATTTCTATTTTATATATTTTACTGTATTCCATTTTATTTATCCATTCATTTATTGATGGTTGTTTACATCTTTTTTGCTATTGTGAATTATGCAAATCTAACCTAGGAGTGTGTATTAGAGGTTAAGGATGAGAGAATAGATGCCTTTGAGTTGTGATGCTGGAGAAGGGTCTTAATCATACAATGTACTGTCAAGGAAAGAAATAGTTCTGTTTTGGAGATGGTGAAGCCAAGTGTCTCATTGAAGGCTAGGATTTTTTTTTATTTACTTTAGTTTGTTTATTTTTCATTTCAATGAACATCTACAGAGATTTTGGAATTCCATTCATTCATTGTTGCACCCTTCTCCCAGCACAACCCCCCCTTCCCCCCGCTTGCTTGCTCCTCTCCTTGAAAAGCAAAAGAAAAACTCCCTCATTGGTACACAATTCCCCCGCACCTCCCCAAACCCCACCCCCTATCCCCAAATATAATCCACTCTGCAACCCTCATTGCATCCTCCTACGATAAAAATAATGCCCTAAAATATACTTTTAGATTATTCTCTCCCCCATAGACTTCAATGCCGTAAACATATTTCATCCAGTTTTTGTCAGTATTACCCCACCCCAATGCCAGCCTCATTCTACAACAGTGGCACCATATAGCATTTGTCCCTTTGTGACTGAGATACCTCACTCAGCATAATGTCCTCCAGGGTC